ATAATAGAGATTTTCATTGATTTCAATCTAAAACTTTTAATTTCATAGAAATTGATGTCTGATAAGTCTAATGGCTTTCTGGAATCAATAAATTTAATGCTAATATTTAAATAATGCTGACTTTGTTAATTCCAGTACAACTGGTACTAAGGAACAGCTTTTTCCTGTGAAATTGATCCAGCCTTTGTTTTATTACTGTTTTTAACATTTCTGAGGGCAAGGAGGCGGCCAAGATGAGACAAGGCTCTGGTGGTTACTGTTTGCTTGTAGTTCAAACAAAGCTTTTTGATAAGGACTCTTATTTTAGCTGGGCTTATAAAGTATTATCAAATGTGTAGGTAGGAGTTCTCTCTTTAAGGATTTGTAAGCAGGAAAGAGTGGTGGAGGAGGAAAGAAAAAAAAGCAGGAAACCTAAGGCATGGCAAGATTCAAAAGTACTTGAGGTGTTTGATTCCTTTTAGAGAAAGATGTTGGACTGGTTCAAATTGAGTAAAGGCCATCGAGGAGGTTAACAGACAGTAATTTGCAACTCTCTCTTACCTGAATAAAATACTTATTACAAGTATGGCTTAACTTGGGACCATATCCACCTTTAATACTGTATATGAAAAGCTTCTGACCTGGGCTCCTCATCTTGTAAGACTGGATTAGCTTGTGTGATTGGGATTTAGAGCGTCAGTTCTCTTATTCTTGTGGGTGAATCTTTCACTGTCATAACAGAATGAGAGCAAAAATTGCAAAAGACTTCTACAAAAAGTGATTCTCTCAGCCTCGTTGGCTGAGAAAATTCAGAGTGTTTCAGCAGGCTGTGCATGGGCAGCAAGACACATGGCCTCATGCTGAAGCAATGAAGACAAAGCAAAATGTAGAGCTCTGAGTAGGAATGTTAACACACAGCAGCGAGTAACAGTTACTGCTTTTCCTAGGACATTTTCATTGTTGAGTATGGGTCTGCCATGGGACCTGCTATGTATACTTGCAATAAATCTCAGTGTCTGAAGTGAACTGAGCTAAGCAAAGAAGCCAGAATGAAGTCTGGTTTCGTTGTTAACTCTCAGATTGTTATTGGCATCAGGATCATCTTGCAATTTGTATTAACACTAACTCTAGCATCTCTTTTTGTTTTTCTATGTGAATAGGGAAGAGTATTTGTTTTGTGGCTAGATCTGTGGAGATCAGTACCTCACTGCGTTTAGCCAAGCATACTAACAGAGCTGAACGAGCTCAATGTGCAGCATGCTTTGAGCTTTGCTGTCAGGTGTCTGTGTACTCAGTGTGAGCAAAACTGGGACTGACTCAGCTTTGGGCTATTGTTGCCTATAAACAGACTGACCTCGATACTTCTTAAAAGATAATGTTGCATATAGTTTCTGGTTAAGAGGCTAATTTTGAAAGCCTAAAGAATTGTTTTCCTGGAAAATAAGAACATGCAGACCTGGCATGGCTTCAGAGGCTACTGGAGAATTCCTCTCCAGCTACTGGTAGCCACAATGGCTACTGTACGACTGTAAGTGCTGACTGGCAGATAACCGCAGATCAAATGGAACTGCAAATTTATGTGAAAGAAAGGTGTGTGGGAGAGAAACTGGTCTGCTAATATGTAAATGTGCATCTGGAAGATAAGATTATACCAACTGTGCGATCTTTTTGTTTTTACCAAAATCAGAAGAAGTAGAAGAAGTATTTATTATATAAAAGGAAGATTCTCCTTATTGACAAGAGCCTTGTCAACCTGTGCTACAGTGCATGTATTTCTCTTAGCTGTTCCTTCCCAGCCGTTGCTCAAAACTACTTTTCTTCTCGTCTCCTCTCATACTGTGACGCTCAGAAGTTCTTTGGTCAGGCATGAATTCCTGATACAAGCAATGGATGCTGACTTGTAATGAACACATCATCTTGCCAGGATGACGTTTTCTCCAAGTGAGTTACTGTTTTGTTCTATGAACTACTATGCTCCTTAGCCAGTTGAGCAAGTTGTTGTGGGCTGGAGCATGTATACTATATCTCTTGCATAAGCAAGTTAAAACAGCATGCTTCTAGATGCAGTTAATATTTCATGATAAAACATTCTACCAGAGTGTTAAATACAAAATAGTGACTCTCAAATCAAGCCCACTCTTCTTTTTATGTTGCTGCTAATTGTAAGTTCATCTGCTGTCATAGCTAAGGAGGTCTCTTTCCTAAAGTCAGAAGCATAATTAGCAGTTTCTCTGTAGTTTGCCTAGTTTAACAGGTCTGGGACATTGATTGACAGTGGGAAAGGGTGTGTTTCTGGCACTTTCCTTGTCTGGCTAGGGGCAAGCTGTGTGTTACACATGGGTGTGATTTGCTCTCCTTGCCTAACACAGTAGCTTGCTGCTGTGCTGTAGCTTTTGCTAGCTTACAGCAAACGTTGTCCTGTGTGAAGATGTCCCTCTCTCTCTGGAACATCCACCTGGCGAAAGTTCTTTACAGACGACTCATGGTCTGATACAAACCTTGAAATTTCAATTCAGCTACCCGAATCATTGTAGTAAGATATACTTCCCAAGTAAACCACACATTTCTTCCTCTCTTTGAAAGGATTCCCTACTACAGGTGTTCCTGTGCACGTTCTTCATTCCAGCTACTGTTAATCACACTGTTCACCAAGACAGATGCCTACAGCTGCCTAGCTAAGAACCACCCTTCTCAGTGCAGAGTGGAGATGCCTGTGGAGGTGAAGTGACCCTGCTTGTTTCCTAGTGCTGATGTGATCTCCTAGTCCTCTGAAAGGGGACTGTGCATCAGTCTCCTCAGTGAGCTCTGGACAGCACCGTGCAAGTACCTGGAGATTTTAGAGAGTGGATAGGGAAGGCAAAAAAGGAATAATACAACAAAACAACATGGCTTCTAGCTTGGGGTCTTTCTGAAGGGGTATGGCTAGAGAGTGCTCTGTAATTTTTCTCCCTGTATGTTCTACAGGGTTGGTAAGGCCTTGTTAAAAGCCATTTGAAAAAGCAATTCAAGCCCTCAGTAGTGGATGGCTGATTAAGTCATTAGCTATTAAGCTATTATTGGTAGAAATACACAGATAGCCAGGCACCTTGTTTGCCGGATTCTATGCTGACAGGCCAAGAAAGCTGGATTCTCTGTTACCCATCCAGCACCTCTGCTTGAATCAAAGGTCCAAGGCCCTGTGTTGCTCTGGTGGTACTATCAGTGATCCTGGTCCTTCTCAGCCTCTTCTGACACTAGCCTTGTACCCCTCCTCCATGCCTTATGTGCTTGCATCTTCTCAGACGTGGCTTACTGTAGGATGTCTGTACTGATTTCTCACTGCTTCTCAAAAGTTCTGGCTCTCACCATGTACGTGTTAGTTGTGTGCAGAGTAGCTGCTATATTACTGTAATTTCCTACCCAATGAATGAAAGAAATACTGACTGGAGTGTCCAGCATCTGTTTTTGTGAAAAGCTGAGCTGTCTGAGCACTGGAACTTATGAAACTGGAATAGATTGCCCAGAGAGCTGGTGGGTGCCCCATCCTGGACATAATCGAAGTCAGCTAGGCAGGGCTCTGTGACTGAACTATAGGTGTCCCTGTCTGTTGCAGGCGGGATGCAGACCAGAAGGCCTTCACAGGTCCCTTCCAACTCAAACAATTCTATGATTCTATGAAAGATGTGGGAATGGTGGTCCTACCTACCTAATAAGTTGTCAGGATGTGATTCAAACTTTTGCTCTTGACTTGGTAGAGCTTAGCATAAATGTAGAGGAGAGATGTAACAAAGGATCTCCTGAGCTGCACAGAGTATGAGGCTGTAAGCTGGTACCAACTGCATGACTGCTAGACTGCAGGTCAGTCTGCCTAATTTTCCTTGCTTCTGCAGTTGTGAGAGGCAAGGCAATGAGATGAACCAAAAGGCTTCTGCTTCTAACTGCACGTTGGGCTGCAGGTGCAAGATTCCTTTCCCCTGCCCCCACCTTCAGCAGGGAAGTTAGTCTTGATACAAAAGGCAGGTTAATAATTAATGCTGCTACCCGGCAGGCAGCTCTGTGCCCTTTCTGCCATACCCATGGAGTGGGCTGAAAATGTTTCTTTTTCTTCTTAGTTCAGTAGCCAGGGGGTTACCTGGGGTGAAAACTGATTCTAGTCAATAATGCTATGAGCCTGGGAGCTGATCTTCAGATAGGTTTGTCTAAATGTTTAAGCAACTGCTGCAGTTTTGCTTGGCTCTTTGGATAAAGCTGGCTGAAGTGATCACAAAATGGCAGTACAAAATCTTCTGAAATCCCATTGCTTCATCTATACTTCTTTCAGCTATGTGAGATTGGCATTGGGTAAGGAAGCCCTGCCTCTATAGATGAAGTTCTGCAGTGCTATCAGGTGTTAGTTACTCTATAGCTGTGTTTTCTCATCCTGCTCAGGCTGATTTGTTTTAAATGCTGAACCAAAATAACCTGCTTCTGCTTGCTTATTTTCTCAAGCTGCTTTTATTTATGTGTCTTTTATTTGTTTGCTTGTTAGGATTTTTGGTGCAAGCGGGGACAATGAGAAGGTTCTTAAGACCTGGACATGATCCAGTAAGAGAGAGGCTCAAGCGCGAACTCTTCCAGTTTAACAAGGTACAGTGCTATCCTTGAACTTCAAGAGATGTGTACAAAGCAAATAGATCCAGAGCCATTGGACAGTGTGAAGGGAGGGAAGAACTACTTGAGTGTGGGTAGGAAAGTTTAAATTTAGGAGAAGTGGTTTGTTTTAGTTTTCTGTATTGTATCTTCATGGGTTTTTTTTCCCTCTGCTGAACCTGACTAGTTTTTGACTAGTTTTCTTTATGCTTATGAGCGTGTTCTCAATTCTGGCTTTTTTTTTTTTTTTTTTTAAGCAAAATGATGCTGTCTTGCAGCTGAGTGGCACTTGCTGGAAGAAGAGATCTTTGCTGCAACTTTCCTTTACTCTGAGTGTTCAGCACTTTGTCCTGCTATGTGCTGTGACAGTTTACATTATAACTAGTCTTTGCAGTACCATTATAAAAGTAAATATTTTTCTTAAGGTAGACAGGTGAGACTCAGGTTGTGATGCAGCTGAAGCCACAGTTCTTTGGCTGTGATTATACTTGGGGTTATAAGTGTACTTCTTTTTTTAAATGCAAATTTAAGTATTTGATAGAGATGTGGGAATACCTAATACAGTGACCATGAATAATTAACAATAATTAACTTACTATTATCTTAGTCTGATTTTGTATTGTAATTTTTTTGCCTTCTCTTTAAGAAGAGGAACCAGCAACGGCTGTGCTTGGTATCCAGCACTGTATGCGTTCTGAGTTCTGGACAGGAACATGTAGTGCACTTAACCTTGTAAAAACTTAATATGAATTTGTTTCTAGGCTAATGACTGCTTACAAAAACCTTTGTTGGGTATTAGAAATATATTTGTAGGCTTTGAATTTCTAAAGTTTAAATGGAGTTTTTCTGAAAACTGTAATAGATGAATGACGTCAGCATATGAAATAATCTCTTTGATTCATTAAAGTGGAAATTTGGAAGCTTGGAGGTAAATGTTTTAATACAATCTGGTACCAAAACATTACTTGCATGCACATTCACCTCCCACTGGATAGATAAAGGGCTGCTTCAGGCCTATTTTCTCCTTGCTTCTATGAGGAAATGCTTGTGCAGATGCAGTAGAAACTTCAGTGGATGTAACTTCAGTGTTGAGTTGTTTGCATGTAGTTGAATCTGCTTCAGAAGACTCAGGGATCTCAGGGATTGGTCAGAACTGCTTAAAAGCATATACAATTGTATGTAAGATGGGGGGGGGAAATGTTTTTTTTTTTTTTTTTTTTTTAAAGACATCTCTTCCTTAATAAGCCTTTTTCTTATGGGAATGTTTGGCTAAGCTTAACTTCCCAGAGTTAGACTAATTTGGGTGATGCAAAACAGGACATCTTTGAAAGAACAAACTTTTGCAGCAAAGGGAAAATTCCAGATATGTTTGAGCCTGGCATCAGAATTTGAGACTCCATTTGATTCAGTCCTGAAGGTAAAAATGACATCTTGTTTCTAGGGGGGTGACTACTTTGGAAACTTCCTAGTGATTTATTCATTGCAACCTTGCAATTAAAGGCTTCACAAAATGCATTTTGCACTTCAAAGCCAAGCAAACTTGCTCTTTTATGACAAGACTTGGAAGGATGGACCAATGCTTTCATATTACCTCCAGAGGCTTTTACATTATACCTTTTTCTTACATAGAGTTTTCCAAGTCTTGTGTCCCATTTCAGTATTTCCAAAGATGAAGAATCCTTTAAACATCTGCCCTTTGATACAATAAGTGTCTGCTTGTAGCTGGATGGACTAAGAAAATTTGGGCAATTCAGGTCTCAGTTCTGACCCGTTGAAGGTTGTGACTTCAAGGTGACAAAAATGTTACATTCTTGTTTAATGCGCTATAAAAGCAGTGAGCTGGTAAGCAAGTTTTATGTTAACGCTTACTATTTGAGGCCTTTGAAACACTTCTTGTTAAGAATCTGCTTGGGAAATATTTGATTGGACTGTGAAGTTGCTAATTAGAGAAACCGCACAGCATATTTACACCTCTTCAGTGTGACTGCCTGTGGTGGTAGGGACTCCATAGTTGATTTGTCCCTTAAAAGTACTAGGGATTCCTGCTCTAATTTTATTGCTTATACAGAAGTTGAATATGACCATATAATGCCATGTGTGCTGTGGACTCTGTTTGGCCATACTGACCTAGTAATGGATTTATTTATTTGGTTATTTTTAATCAGTGTTTGATGATTTTTAGGGCGGTCGTGGCTTTCTTTGTTTCACTCCCTCAAGTTTTGACATCTATGATCTTTTACAGCTTCTTTCTTATGTCTGTTCCATACAGGAGGTAGTTGAAATAGTTTTAAAGGACTGGCTGGGTACTGGATTAGCTCTTTAAATTCTCAGTAAAGTTGTGTTTGTTTCAAGAAACACCTTCCTAAGTTCTTCTAGTCACTCAGCTTTGCATATGTTTTTCTGTATGACTGAGAACTTCCCATACTTCTGTATACCTGTTGCAAGAGTCTGTTTTTAGCTTAGTGGATAGAATGAAGAATACTGTATGAATGCTTGGCAGTCTAATTCTTTAAGTTTGTCCTGCTTTTAGAAGTAGTACTTGGGTGCCTTTGGTTAAGTCCAAGCCCCACAGAACAGACACGTCTAGGCTGGCGCCATCAGGCTGGATGGTGGGTAACACAGGTGAAACAAACAGCCTATCTTACAGTTGAATGCTACCAAACTGTGAACACTGTATTTAATTTGTGGCTTTATTTTTTCCCTCTTATTTTCAGTCTTCTCAACTCTTTGCTAATGGAGGTGATGGACAGCTTACCTTAAAAACTGAATTACTGTTTATGCAAAGTAGATTTAACACATATTGGCTTCGCTGTTTCTTCAATGGCAACAAAGCTGGTGAGGGGTCTGGAGCACAGGCCTTGTAAGGAGCGGCTGAAGGAGCTGAGATTGTTCAGTCTGGAGAACAGGAGGCTCAGGGGAGACCTTACTGCTTTCTATAACTACTTGAAGGGAGGTTCTAGAGAGCGGGGGGTCGGCCTCTTCTCTCGTGTAACAAGTGATAGGACTAGAGGGAATGGCTTCAAGCTGCGCCAAGGGAGATTCAGGCTGGATGTTAGGAAATAGTACTTCTCTGAAAGAGCAATCAGGCACTGGAATGGGCTGCCCAGGGAGGTGGTGGAGTCACTACCAGGGAAGTGGTGGAGACACCGACCTTGGTGTTCAAGGAACGTTTGGACGTTGTGTTGAGGGACATTTAGTGAGAACTGTTGATGGTGTTTGGACTGCATGACCCGATGGGTCTTTTCCAACCTTCTGTGGAAGGTTGGTGATTCTGTGATTCAAACAACATTGTAATAAATGTACTGTGCATGTATTGCCTGTAGTTGGTTTGTCTCTGTTTTGTCACAAAACAATCTGATAGAAATGAATTGAGGAAAATGGCACTGAATTTCAGTGGCACAGCTTTAGAGTGGGCTAGGAACAACTGTTAAGCTTGTCTGCGTTTTTCCTGCAGTAAATATGATGATTGACACTAGCTTTTCTGTTAGTTAATGCTGCTGACACTAGGCTTACAAATCTATAGCTTGAGAAAAATGATAATGAAAGCTCCTCAGAGAAACAAAGGCACTCTTGAAAAGATGGGCATGCTTTGCCACTCTGGTTTCTCATTTCAGTTACACTGAAAGACTCCTTTGTAACCTCTCTGTGTCGTTCCCATATCCCCCCCACTCCCTTGCTGAGTTCATCATTTACCTGCTGAGCAGGTGAATGGGTTCACTGATGAAAGCTGCATTGAGACTAGAGAATGAGGCTAGCCAAACAGTTGGCTTGATGAGATTTAGCAAAGAAAAAAAAAACAGATCCTGGATTTTAAATAAGTGCAAGAAAAAGGTCTGAATTAATAAGTACAGTGAATGTGAATGCCTGGCCTTTGTGGTGTCATAGACAGCCTAGAAGCCATTCTGTCTTATGGGCAGCTTGATTGAAGATTCTAGGCTACCAAAAACCATTAGTGTGGTTGCACAATTGCTTATGGAGTAAAATCATAGAATCATAGAATGGCCTGGGTTGAAAAGGCCCACAGTGATCATCCAGTTTCAATCCCCCTGCTAAGTGCAGTGTCACCAGCCACTAGACCAGGCCACCCAGTGGCAAATCCAGCCTGGCCTTGAATGCCTCCAGGGATGGGGCATCCACAAGTTCCTTGGGCAACTTGTTCCAGTGTTACCACTCTCTGTGTGAAAAAATTCCTCCTAATATCTAACCTAAACCTCCCCTGTCTCAGTTTAAGACCATTCCCCCTTGTCCTATCACTATCCACGCTCATAAACAGCCATTTTCCCTCCTGTTTATACACTACTTTCAAGTACTGGAAAGCCACAGTGAGCTCTCCCTGGAGCCTTCTCTTCTCCGAGCTAAACAATCCCAGTTCCCAGCAGCTGGAATTTTGCTCTCCTAAGGCACAGAGTACTGACTGCATTTTGCCTGGCCTGCATTCTTCAGGATCACAAACTCCATCAAGGTATGGTCACTACAGCCCAAGCTGCCTCCAATCGTAACTTCTCTAATGCTCTCCTCGTTAGTGAGCGCCAAGTCCAGTAAGGCTTCACCTCGGGTTGGTCCATCTACTACCTGGGCCAGGAAGATGTCCTTGACAGACTTCAGGACTGTCTGCCTCCCGCCGAGCCGCTATCCCAGCAAATATCTGGGTGGTTGAAATCCCCCATCAGGATGAGTGCAACACCTCCTGCAGCTGAAGCAAGAAGGCCTCATCAACAGGCTCCTCCTGATCAGGTGGCCTGTAGCAGACCCCAACCACAATATGCCCTTTACTGGACTGATTCTTGATTTTACCAACAAGCTTTCGATCTGATCATGGCTGTTCCTCAGACACAGCTCTTCACAATCTATTTACTTCCTAACATAGAGGGCAACTCCGCCACCCCTCCTACCCTGTCTGTGCCTTCTGAAAAGCCTAAAATAACAGGCTATGGCTGTTAGTGATCCTCTCTTTCTGTGCTCTTGCATATGGCACTTTTCTGCCGTGGCCTTGTTACTAGCACTTTTCTCTTGGATGAAGAGTCACTGCAGCTTTTGCAAATTTGTCAACAGGCTTGGAAGGAAGGTTTCTTCAAATCTTCTTTTAAAAGAAACTCTGGGCAAAAAATTATCATCCTATTAGTAAGACTGAATGATTGAACTGTGTAACAGAACTGTTTATAGGTCTAATATCTGAAAGTTAAAGATTATACTAATTTGTATTATGTGTATTATGTTTACAAATAGCACGTCAAAACCAAGATATAATTAAGCCGATACTAAGTTTAGTGTTGACAGCATCCTAACACACAGTATGGGATTGTCTGTGTCTTGGTTTTCTGTTATAAGAAGAGTCAGTAGTAATTCTCATGTTCCTGGATGAAAGTAATCTCAGACTAAATGCAATTCCTAAATTGACATTTCATTGAAAATAACACCTGGTTCTGCTGGTGGTGTGACAGCACAGTGGCTATCAGGAGGTTGAAATGAAAACTAGCAGTGAAATTACACTGATCTCTCCCTACCAAATTCTTTGCTCTTTTGGGAGAGTGTGCAGTGGTGTCTGTTGTTCTGTCTTATTTCTGGTTAGGATGTTTGAATTTTCTTCAGAGACTTGTACGTGATGACTTCATACTCCAACAACTTTGCCAACTAGAGAACTTTTCTATGTTAACTCACTAGCTGTCGTAGAACAGAGAAATTCTTTGTAAATGTTCATTTAGAAAACTGTTCTGTTTTAATTCTAAATCCATAGTTACAGTTCTGAATTTCATGAAGCCTCCACTAGGAAGTCTCATATGCAAAGATGGGCAGAGGTTGGTTAGGCACAACTTCAAGTGGGACATTAAGGAAAAACTGACTTCTTGAAATTTGTTTTTGGTAGTACATATTTAACACCTAAGTTGCCTTTGTGGTATATAAATAAGGCAAGAGACGAACCTGTAACAAAAGGAAATAAATTTGGCACTCTTGGTGCCAGTAGTGCTAGTGTTAATTTACAAGCTACTGCTTTGCCAAGCATTATGAGTTGGCAAGGGGAAATATAGGGAATATTCCAATCTTTCCAATTTTTTATGCTCTAAAATAGCTTATCTTCTAATATGACCTCCAACTGGGTTAGCCTGATGATTGAAAGGAAGGAGGTCTGATTGTTACGATTTAAAAATTACAACAGAATGGCCGGAATTTAAGCAGTCTGGGAGGCTGGGATCAGGCTGTCCTCCTACGCCGGTGTTTTTAGCAGGAACAGTTAAAGGGCATTAAACTGTTTTGTAGCAGCCTTTCAGCTGGGAGCACCTCAGGCTATTACCATGACCACAAAAATGAAACCGGCTTTATTTTTTTTTTTTTTTAAACTCCTGAAGAGGATTACATTGGAAAATTACTATGCAGGAAATAAACTCCAGTTCCTTCCGTGCAGAGTAAACCATAATGCCAAGTGGTGTGGTAGCTCCATCTCAACAAAATAATGGTAATGAAGATGGGAGCAAGGCACAAGTGTCTACTTCTGTAAATGGAGTGTTCTCTGCTTATCGCTTTTTTCTATGTGTGGTTGTTGGGCTGTTTTGTATCCAGTTCCTTCCTGTAGTTGCTCAGCTTGCTTAGAAGAATTTTCTCAAAAGATAGAATTATAAGGATAACAGTGTTTTCTGGGAATCAGCTCTGTTTATCTTCAGGCACATAAAGCCTTCTTTATGTAGCTGTACATTGTTGAACACTTATACATGCATGATTTCTGTGGTCAATGACAAGAGCTGTACATGAATATTTCTAGAAGCCTGACTGAGAGGTCTTACAAACGGCTGCAACCTTTAAGTATGGTAGAACGTTTTGCCACAGTGTATAAATGCATCACCTCTGCGAATTGTGATGTATATGGCACACTTCAAATCTCAGTCTTGGTGCGATGTAAATTATACTTTGTGGAAGTCATTACAATCAAGCAATACACCGGTGTCTTTTTTTTTTTTTTTTTTTTTTTTTTAATTACTAAATGAATTTCTTTGAGGTAGTAGTGCAGGCTCCCACTCTTGTTGAAGTCTGACATTCTTTGTGGTACCCTCAGAAAATGAATATCTGTCACAGTAGTTTTCTTGAATTCCCCCAAATCTATTTAGCTTTCATAGTGAGCATTGGTGTTTATTCTGTACTTCATCATAGCTTTGCACCATTTTTTGATGTCAGTCAGTAAGAGAAGGTCATGAAGACTGACTTTCTTAGAATTTAATAGGTAGAGCTGACTTTGCAGTAGGAAGTAGTTGTGTTAGGCTTTGAAATTATGCTGAGCAGGTGGCTTACAGAGGTAAAATTGATGTGGGGTGTTAAGTGTATTCTGCTGACTAAGTTGTGCTTACACAGAGTTACAAATAATATGAAGAGCTGTTTGGGTTACTGTTTTCAGAGTATTGCTTTTTAATTTCTGTATTTCAGACTGCTATGCCATATTTAACTTGCTTTTTTTATCTGTACACAACAATGCCCATGAGACGTGCTCTTTGATCATGATTTTTCTTTCTCTTTGCTAGACTGTTGAACATGGATTTCCCCATCAACCCAGCGCATTGGGCTATAGTCCATTTCTCCACCTTATGGCCATTGGAACGCGGTCAGGAGCCATCAAACTGTATTCTTTTGAACAATTTCAGCAAGGTTTCTCTAGCAGCATGAGAATATACAACTGTGAAGGCTTTATAATAAGTTGCTCAAAATTTGCAAACATGGATTACAGAACATTGGAACAGTTTGTCTAGGTTTAAATTGATTTTTGGTTTGATCAGAATGCCAAGAGCTGAACTATTGCTCGAACAGAAGTTGAGTTTGATGCTGATGTTAGAAGAAGCTCTGCTTTTGTTATGTGGAAGATCAGACTACATTTAGCCCAAGTTTAGCAATCCTTCACATTGTAAATTCCCAGATTGTTTAAATATTTGGGGCAGGCTTTTTTTTCTTTCTTTAAAGTGATTTTATTTCAGAGGTTAAATCTGAAGACAGAAATGCATTCAGCTTCCTGTATTTGTGCCCCTATAGGCATTAGACCTAAACACTGAAAAAGGTGACTTTTTTTAACTAAAGCAGTGATGTCCATTTTGATTTTTTTGCATATATGCAAGGCATGGAGGTGATTCTTGTGGTGCAGTGCCAGCAAGGTACGCTGTACAGCAGCCAGATTGCTCATCCCTGAAAGAAAAAGTTGGTATGCTCTTCACCTGCTTAATCATTCCTGGTGCTGTTTGCGTTCAGAGTCTGGACTCGCATGCAAGCAGTAGCCATCTGTCTCTTGGTTACAAACAAGCAGTACTGTAGTGTCTGAGAAACCATTAAACATCTCTGAGGGAGAAAAAACCAGAAGATTCAGAAAACAGGGTTCAGGCACCTCTTCTGCAAATTCTCAAAGGATTAAGTAAACTTCCATGCTCTCCTGCAGTCTCCTTTAAGCACACAAGCACATAAAATCAAAGTAGGCATGTTTTTTCACAGAATCACAGAATGGCCAGGGTTGGAAGGGACATCAAGGATCATGAATCTCCAACCCCCATGCCACATGCAGGGCCACCAACCTTCACAATTACCAGACTAGACCAGACTGCCCAGGGCCCCTTCCAATCTGGCCTTGAACACCTCTAGGGACGGGGCATATTTTCTTTTTTTCCAGTCCAGACCATGACCAGTACAACATGGTTTCAAACTGATCTCTCTTCATCTTGCTAGCTAGCATGCTTCTTATCAGGTAACTGCAGATCTGGATATTCTTAAATACTTTAGAACCTCAACAAAGCCTTCAGATATGGTGCTCCTGGGGTGGAATTTGTGGGTTTACATGAAGAAAACAATACTGTAATGCAGATTCACTTTATACCTGACCAGGTGAGTGTATTTTCAGTGCCTCTGTGACTTTTGTAGGCTTTTATTAAATATGTGTTGAGTTTATTCCTGGTAACTGAACTCCTGTAATTGAGTTTATTCAGCTGCTGCTGGTCTGTAACACTTATTCCAGTATTCTGTGCTCTCAGCAGTACTTGTTGCTGTGGAGAAGCTTGGTAAAACTTAAGAGTAGCTTTATTATTTGTAATTTAGTTGTTTATCTCAAGTAGAGGTGGTAAGAATGGTAGTAAGTCCAGAGTAGTTCAGGTTATCTGCTGCAGAGATGAAAACTGCTCCTTTTGCAGCCCCTGTAATTTTAGTAGGACTGAGTGGTATTTTGCAGAACAGAACTGCTGCTGATCTAAGTCTTTTCAGCAGTTCAGCTGAGTACTGCTGATCTAGCCAGCTATTAAGCTTGCTGCCTGTATGTGTTTCTGATTATTGAATCTTGCCTTTGGAGACTGCTTTACAGCTATTGACATAAACTAAAATTAGCAAAGGCAGAGTTTTCCAAATGGCTGCTGGTTGACTAACCACTTTCCCTTCCCTTGACTGTCAGACTGGTGTCTTGGCGATGTGTTTTATTGTCTGATGTCCCCAGTGTAGCTCAAGTAGTCTGTTCTGAGAGGGATTTAATTCTTGAAGTGGTTTTGGGTGTCTGTTTGCTTAACTAATGGTACATCCTGAAACTCTCCTGGGGAGTGTTGTACCAGGTGTGGCTTCAACAGGCGAAATGTTCAGTTTGGACACAAAGCCAGCAGGGCGGGGCCCATGAAAGGACTCTGACACAGCTCTCCAGAATGAAGTTGAACATGAAAAATGCAAGGAGTGCAGTGTAGTAAACTGTATCAGCCCCACCCAAAGCTGGGATGTGTTGCTGCAAACCATGCTGAGCAAGATGGTGAACCAACACTTGGAGTTGTCTTACTGAGCTTTTCATCCTAGGCTGGTCTTTTTCCAAAAATCTAACTTCTCCCTTAGTGATAACCTGTGCCATTGTTGTCCAATAGATGAAGGTTTTCAACCTTTAGACTAATTCTTGTCTTCCTCCAAATGCCTTGCTGTTAACCTCCTGAGCTGCTGCAGTGCAGCTGAATGTAGCCCTATGCGTGTGTATATATACCCACCACACATATATATGCCCACCTGCAAGCCCTGATCCTGCTTTAGCAGAGGGAATTATTTACAGCAGCAACTTAATCATTAGATTTTCTGTATTGTATTTGATGTTGTCATTCTGAAAAAAGGTAATGTGTGGTATTTTAGTGCCAGCTGGTGACATTACTAGATGATAACAGCTTGCACCTCTGGAGCCTGAAGCAGCGCAGTGGAGCATCTGAGCTGTGGGAAGATCATCGCTTCACACTGAAAGGGCCACCTGGGTAATCTTCAGGAGTGGTTTTGAACTATGTGTGGTTTAGCAAGGAAGAAAACTGTTATTATTTTAGCTAGGGTTTGTCTTGATCTTACAGACTCTATGATTCCTGTGAGCTCATTAGAGAGGCACATTTAGAAACCAGTAAGAGTTGGTTAGGGCTCAGGAGACCACCTTTTAAGATTGTACCAATGTCAAGTGTGAGTTTTTGGGTAAAAATTCTGTTAAAAATTCTGTTTTTAAGTTTGATGTCCTATATCTAGTTCTTTGTGTACGGGCACTGTAAATCTTAAGGTGAAGCACATCTATACATCTTAAATGACAGACTTACAGACTTACAGACTTAAATACCAGTATGTACCAGTACTGTATTTTTATTTAATCTTGCCAATTTTGAGGAAGCTATTTTTAGCTCCTTTGGAGGCATCTTTATAAGAGAGACCACTGTAAAAGGGCATCTGACTCTTTGTTCACATGCTTGTCAAAAGTTGTTTGACATAATTTACATTAACACTAGAATTTGCCTTCAAAAAAGTATGCCTGTCTCAAAATCTCTGTCCATAAAACAAATTGCATCCAGTTGAGTTGTTGGTTCTCTCAAGTTTGGTAAACGTAACCATCTTGCATGTAGCTAACTAGATACTTTACATCTCCAGCTCTCCGCCAAGTGCCACGCAGATAACAGCTGTTCTTCCCCACTCCTCACGGGAAGTCCTTTACCTTGGCACTGAGAGTGGCAACATCTTCGTGGTGGAACTGCCATCCTTTGGAGTCCTGGAGGACAGGACCATAACATCTGAGGCTGTGCTGCAGTGGTGAGCGAGCAGATAGGCGCTCCTGTGTGGAAGTGGAATCCCATGAGCAGGCATCCTTTGTTCAGATGTCACCCCCAATTAAATACTGGGGCCTTGCTGTTATATTATTCATTTTCCAAATCTGCAGGACTTCTGTGAAAGTAATTTTTGGTCCTGATGTGTGTTAAGTATTGATTTCAGTCCTGGTCTGTCCCTAGTGCTGTCACTGTGGGAATGCTGAACATGAGCAGACTATACAGTGCATACTGGGAGTTAATCTGCAAACCTTGTGCACTGTTAGTTGTATGCATTACAATCTTCAGATCCAGTCCCAAAACTCACTGTAAGCTTTGAGTGAAGGGAGGGAGATGCTGGATACAGGCAGGCTGATTTGGCAGGCCTGGTTATAGGCCTTATGTAAGGTTTTTCTGCTTCTTGAAGGATTTACAAAAATATTACACTTATTCTCCACTGACTGCTTTTTATTGCTTAATTTCTTTCTTATACTTCAACTGTTATTACACTTGTACTGAGTTATACCAGAAATAAACCTCTGTTTTCTCTTCTGCAGGATACCTGAAGATTACAGTAACAGACGATCATGTGAATTGGTAGAAGCCCTTCAGGAGCATCCTAAAAACCCTGACCAGATCCTGATTGGGTACAGCAGAGGCTTGATTGTTCTCTGGGACCGGCAGGATAACAAAGTGACACACCATTTCCTGGGCAGCCAGGTATTAACCCAATCCAAAGGTAGTTCTTACGGGAGGAAGAGCGCTCTCCTCTCACAGCACTCTTGAAGATAAGTGGATGTAGGAAGAGCCTGACAAAGCTTATTTCCCCTTTTCCCCTCCTGTTTCCCCCCTTCCCTCTCTCCCTCCTTTTCTTACTCTTAACTTGAGAGTACATCTTTGTCTATTTCTTTTCAGCAACTGGAGAACCTTTCCTGGCAGAGGGATGGCAGTAAATTCATTAGTTGTCATTATGATGGAAGTTACACCCAGTGGCCAGTATCTAATGACGACAGGCAGTCTCTGCCTCTGGAAAACCTAGTGCCTTATGGTCAGTAAGTGAGATTTAGTTGTTGCACATTCATTCGGGCTCACTTAGAGCCTACGTGGGATATTCACGATGGGCTGTCCCTAGTGTTTTATCCTGATGGCAAAAGGCAGAACTACCGTTTTAATGGGTTGTGAGCCTGGACTAATTGGTTTCAGTCCAGCTGTTTCTTGGATTTTTAAACTCCTTTGCGTTGCTGAGTCAGTCTTGAACATGAAGAGCAAATGTGTTGAAGAATGTTCTTCCTTTATGAATAAGGTGTTGGTGATTCAGCTCATTGTTTTAGTTCAAGTGTCCTGTTCGACAGGAGTTGATCTTCTGGTTTGCAAAAAACTCATAAAATAGGGATGACCTCATTTTTTAAGTGTGTAGAAGCTTTAGAAGCTCTCTATCATCTTTAACTTAATTTCCAGAATGTCTGTGTTTTCAACATTAATCAGCTTCTGTACTCTGTTAGCCATCGGCAACGTAGTTCAAAACTTTCCCTGAATCTAAGCGTTGTTTTCCTGAGGAGTAACTGTGATCCACATGTTCCAGACTTTGTTGTCTGATGTGGCTTGGTCTGGGGAAGTTTTGTTTACTAGTTCAGGTGACTCTCCTTCTCTTGGTCACTGAATTGACCTAAGCAAAGCAGAATAAAGGACATCTGAAGTGAGGATGCACTTAATCAATTATGGTAACTAGCTCTGTTCTCATAGGTCCTTTTCCGTGCAAGGCCATCTCTAAGATCTACTGGCAGACAACAAGGAATGGGTAAGGTTGTGTTATATTCCTTTGTCCTTAGCTTTGGAAAGAAGTACTTAAAGGATATAGTGTATGTTACCATAAGAGCACTTCAGAGGAGCTTTTTAAGATGTAGGGTTTTTTTTTGTCAAAGTTTGACTTTGTCTTTGAAGTTGTGCTTGCTTCTTACTTCAGCATGTGCTGTATCTTTCTCTTAAGGCTTCCTTACATTATATTCCAAGGGGGGATGCCCCGGGCTAGTTATGGTGACCGGCACAGTATCTCTGTTATTCATGGCAGCCAGCAAATAGCCTTTGACTTCACATCGCGAGTGATAGACTTCTTTATCATCTTCAGTTCAGAGCCTACTGCAGGTATGTGGTTGCACGTCATCGATGAATAGCTAGAATACCTGTGTACTCATCTAGAAACCTGGTGTAAGTAGCTTATGAATTGTGAAGAAGTTGAATTTCAAGAAGCCCTCAGACAGTTTGAAGTGAGAGATTTTGTCCTTTAAAAATGAAGTGTGAAATACTGACAGAATGAATGGGCCGATTACATTCATTAAATTATTATCTACTTCATTAGTGAGAAAAGATCTCTTAAGTTCATGTCTGCATAAGCAGGACGCTGGACATAACCAGGTAGTAAAATCAGGATCTGAATATTGCTGCTTGAAAACAGCATTTCAGAGAAGGCAATAATTAAAAATAGAATTTACTCCCACTGAGAAACTGTTTCTTTTAATTACTACATGGATTTATGACTAGGCCTCTGGGTAATAAATCAGCAGAGGGAGCAGAACCCAGGATTAGTATGTAGGGAACTTAATTTACTTACTGCTGGTGAACCTGAATGTAAATAGCAAAATACCAAATAGCACTCATTCTGCAACATGTTTTAGTTTGTCAGATTTTTACTTCTGCTGAAGGACTTCTTTGCCTTTTCTTCCACTATACCATGGAATTGTCTGGAGTTTTTCCCAAATGCTGATGTAGTTCTTGTTTCTGGTTAACTTGAAGAAACTGAAAGTAAAATTGCTATTTCAAGCTCCACAAATGTGCAGTATTGGAAGTTGCATCTAGACTTGTGCAGTTTGGTCTGATCCCTTTCAGTGGCTTGTAAGCAAATCTGCATTGCTGAATCTTCCCAGGTTTTCTGGTTTGCCTATTTGTCTTGCATACTGTGAGTGGTGATGGTGACAGCTCTCAGCATGTGCTGTGCTGTAGCAGGCATTCAAGTGTGTGTGTGTGTGTGTGTGTGTGTGTAGGTTGGCTCCCTTTGGCTTACTGCATAAAACAGATTACAAATCTGGTGAAGGAATGTTGCTCCCTACTGGACTTCTTAAGCAGACCTTCTTAAGTCATGAAATAGGTAGGGTGTTACTGAGGTGAACTGCCTGTATATGTTTGTTATTCTAGTCTTTACCTACACAGGGATGCTTTTTATAAACATCTTCCAGTTGTACTGAACCATTAGTTTTGAAGCGCTGTTTAGCTTTTTATCATTAAAGAAACCAGTCACTTTCTATGAAGAAATAATATGCAGGAATTGAATTTTAAGTCTCTTTAGGATTAAGTAACTGAGATTAAGAGACTTCATATTTTTACATCCCAAGGATTAAACTGTCCAGTTAAGCTATCTTCTAGTGACTACAGACCGAAGCTTCTACAGGGAGCTGAAGTTGTTGCACTTTAATAAATAAATAAATAAATGCATTTTTACAATAAAATGAGGTTTCTGTTCTTGACGAGCTTTCTTGTGGCTGATTGCCTGAGCTTAGTTGGATGTGCATAGCTTGCCTTGTTTCCCCTTAGGCAGTCTTCCCTGCAATGGCAAAATGAAGGTATTAATTGTAGACAAAACCCACATAGTTTAATAAGCACAGAGTTCACGTGTTGCAGCATGGTGGTTGGCAGTGACATTCCTCTATCCTAAATATACTGTGAAATCAATTTTGAAAAAACACTAATACTGTTTTCGTTTACTTTTCATGGATGGGTGTATATCAGTCATGGTGGAAAACAAAACAAACTAGTATGCTTGCTACTTCAGAAGCTTGAAATAGGTGTTTGCCATAAGCAGTGAGCTCAGATATGTGTCTTTGTAGGGAAAATAATACTTTAACAATAGTACATAAGTTTAATATTGACAATAGTAGATATAGGGCAGGGCTGATCATGAATGATGCTATAGGTAATATCATATCTGTCCTTTATTTAGAAGTTCACTGGAAACTGTGAATGAACGCATAATAAAGCATCTAAAACTGAATGCAATTTTATTTTTTTTTTTCATGAAGAAACTGAACTGATTAGTGCTGTATTATGGCTGTTGCCAGTCAGATGAAACTTGGGGTGTCTAACTAGTTGTGATGCCAAATAGTAATTACTTGAAGTTAATTCTACTGAATGACAGCCTTGGTGTGTGCTTGCTTATAGGCATGCATTCTTGTAAGTATATTCTGGGGGAAATGAAAGCACAGGATAGTAGGGGTTGTCAGCAAAGAGCTGCAATTGGCTTTTGGCTCACACTGATTACCACCCCCAAATCCTTGCTGCGACAACACATTTAGAGCTATGCATTGACTTAAATTTCCTCTAGGTATGTTGTTACTGGATCTGTGTTTTTGGTTTTTCCCACCATTTAGTATAGTGGCTATCATATCATACACGTGCTACCATAATACAGTCCTTGCAGGGTGTTTTTTCCACTTGGTTTAATTATTAGTTACAAAAAAAAATCTTCTTGATTGTGTCAGATGTCACCTATAAGATTCTAATAATAGATTTCTTTTTAAATTTTGTCTTATATACATATAAACATACATTGTATGATGTGCACACTCTTTAAAAAGTGCAGAAAATGTGGCACAATACTTTAGAATCGGGGAAAACTGAGGAGTAAGATAGCTGAATTAGAAACTCTGGTCAGCTCAGGCAGAGGAACATTCTGCAGAACCCGAAGCATTACTGTGTTTAAGCAGCTTACCTTAGACGGACTGTGGTTCTAACAGCACTAAGTGGGACACTGCTGGGCTGTGTGCATTTCTGTTCACCATATGCTGTTAATTAGCTGTAGGTAAGTGTAGAGTTCTGGCTGTGTATATCTGTTGTGGTGTGTTTGAACTTGTGATGTGTAGTCATGGATGTTGCTAACATTTCGTTTTATTTTGCAATGTAATCCATACAGTCACTCTGATGGTCCCAGCAGTGAGATAAAAAAAAAACACCATAATCTTTAGTATCTTGAGATTTATTAATATTAGTGCCTTAATAGGCCCAGTAAAAACAGAAACATTTAGTGGTGTTGCCAACAAAAACATGTTTCTGTAGAGCTTCATAGTTGCAGTTTTAGTATGAGACTTACCAGAAGCTTGTTTATATTAATCTTGGGTAGTAATTTTTGTCAACATCAATGAATCTTGTTTCTGCAGAGTTTGATGACCCTTCTGCTATGGTGGTGCTGGCAGAAGAAGAGCTGATAGTTATAGACTTAAAATCTGCAGGCTGGCCAGCAGTCCATCCTCCATACTTGGCTTCTCTCCACTGCTCAGCCATCACTTGCTCACACCATGTCTCCAACATCCCACTGAAACTCTGGGAGAGGATTATTAGTGCTGGGAGCAAGCAGAATGTTCACTACTCAAATATGGTATGGCAGCTTTAAAGGTACACGTGTTCCCATATATTTAAGAAGAGCTTGACTGCTCATTATGTGGGTGATCTGCACTGTTGACTGCATGTGGACAGATGAGTCATCAGCAGACATCCTGCTGCTTAATAGAGTTGAGAATTTTTTTTTTTTTTCCAGAGCACTACCAACAGTTACTCATGCTGGGGTATTAAAATACGTTATTTTTGTCAGGCTTTAACAAGCTAGAAAGGAAATCTTAGCGTTCTCAGCTGTCAGTTATAACAAACTTCTCATTTAGAAGCATGGAGCTTTTGGCACAGCTTCTTGAGGAAATGTGTAGAGTGTCTTACACTGAAAAGCACAGCCGGTGTCAGAACATCTAATCCTAACAAAAGCTATAGCAGCAAGAACTATTTCACTTCCGTTTGCACTGAAGTTCATGCTCTCCTCCTGGCTGATATTCTCTCCACACTGTCACTGCCTAGGAAGTCACTGTCTTCTCTTAATATGTTTGTAGCCATGGCCAATTGATGGTGGCACCAACATAGCTCCTGATCCTCCTCAGAGGGACTTGCTTCTCACAGGGTATGTAGTTATTAAAAAAAATAAATAAAAAGTCACAGAGCCATTTTCAGTTGCTTTTTGTCCTTTGAACTGAGGCTTTCATGTAAGATTAATGTCTGCTTATTTGGTAGAGAAAAGGCTGCAACTTCACAAATCTCCAAGCTCGGTTTGTTAGCTTTATAATGCTAAAATCTTCTGCTTCTGAGCAAACAGGATGTGGCATCCGCAGATTATCCTATAATCTTGTTTTATTTGTGATCCTGAAGAGTTAGTTACCCATTCTGCCTCACAAACACCAGTGTAGATGTGCAGGCAGTAATCCAGACTGGTTCAAAGGGAGCAATGTAAATACAGAACTTAGTCATGCAGGTTATAAAGCCTTTTTTTCTTCATACAGACATGAAGATGGCACTGTGCGGTTTTGGGATGCATCTGGTGTCTGCTTACATCTCCTTTATAAGCTAAGCACAGTAAGAGTATTTCTCACAGATGCTGATCCCAATGATAACATGAACACAATGGGTGAGGATGAATGGCCTCCTCTTCGTAAGGTAAGATAGCTGTTGCATGTGGAAGCTTTCTGAAAACCTGAGCAGTTTTGATTTTTGGCATCATTAATGCATCTGCAAAGTCTACCTGTTGTATATTCTCTCATCTAGGTTGGTACCTTTGACCCTTATAGCGATGATCCTAGACTTGGGATCCAGAAGATCTACCTGTGTAAATACAGTGGATACTTGGCTGTAGCTGGTACAGCAGGGCAGGTACTGAAATAAAGCTTATTTTTAGTGCAGATTGTCTCAGTGCAACTTGAAGATACGTTAAAGTTGGAAATGTCTGTTTCTGTAGCGGCAAATTGGTTCAGTTGCTGGAAGTGTTTTTTATAGTTCTCTACTTTCTCAGATCTGTCTTTCAGATTTTATTTAACTCCTTATGAGCTCTGAGAAGTGTTCTGGTTTTTCAACTGCTTAGAGGGCCTGCAGCTGGGAGGACTGCTTGAGCAATAGAAGCTGTAGCAGAACTTGTCCTCTTTCTTTCAGGTACTGGTAATGGAACTGAATGATGAAGGTGCAGAACATGTTGTTGATCATGTTGAAGCAGATCTGCTGCAGGACCAAGAGGGCTATCGATGGAAAGGTCATGAGAAACTGAAGACTCGAGATGGACCTGTTCGATTTGAAGCTGGTTTTCAGCCATTTGTCCTTGTCCAATGTCAACCACCAGCTGTTGTCACCTCATTGGCCCTTCACTCTGAATGGAAGCTTGTGGCCTTTGGTACTAGTCATGGCTTTGGACTTTTTGATCACCAGCAGAGACGACTGGTTTTGGTCAAGTAAGTATCTTACTTTCTGAGTAATCCCCTATTCATGATGATGTGAAATTGCTAACTGAGAAGAGGTATCTTAAGAGCAATCAGTATAACAAGCCCTGTCTCAATTGTCCTTGAGGATCTTCAAGAACGTAGACATATTCTTGTTCAGCCATTTGTGTATGCCCTGTTAGACTCTTGGGAGTGTTTGTCACCCAGTAGAAACTGACGGTGTGTCTCCCTCCTTTCAGATGTACACTTCATCCCAGTGATCAGTTGGCTTTAGAAGGCCCACTGTCTCGGGTGAAGTCCTTGAAAAAGTCCCTCCGTCAGTCATTCAGGCGGATTAGAAGAAGCCGAGTGTCCAGTAGGAAGCGGCGAGGAGTTGGTGGAAATACCTCAGAGGTGAGGGGTTCGCTTTTTTGCGTTCCATTTGCTCACAACATGGAACACGTGGGCTTCCAATTTAGACTGCCTAGAGCAGGAGATCATTTACATACTGTTATCTATTGATATGTAAGGGCAAAAATGACTTACAGTGCTACCGCCTATTAAATAAAAATAGGATTTTAGTGCAAATATACTCTTCTCAAGTTGAACCTATGATTCAGAATATATCTGATCACTGTTATGAAGGTGCTTTCCCTTTTACTGCTGTTCTTACTATTTCACTCTCATCCCTATGTCTCCTCATCTTTGAAGACACACGAAGCAAATGGCAAATTTGATCAGGGCATGTTACAGGAAATGGAACTGGCTCCAGTCCAACGGAAGATTGAAGCCCGATCTGCAGAAGACTCTTTCACTGGCTTTGTGCGCACCTTATATTTTGCTGATACCTTCTTGAGAGACAGTGAGTAGAAAAGGCATCTCCTTTCTTCTGGATAGTTTTTTCCTCCTTTTGCCAAGGAATGCATTAGGATCTACTGCCAGGAAATTTCAGTTCCTTCTGTATCCTACTTTGTGTTATAGCAAAAAACTAATATAGAACAAGAGCATCTGTTAACATGCAAAATTGTTGTCTACCCATTCTGTCTGCTGGCTAATCCAAGGCAAGTAGTAGTTCATCTTTGGATGCAGTCTATATGTATGGTTTTCAAAGGTGACAGAATGACTTCTGGCTTGTGAGTATAAGCTTTTCCTTATCTCATTGCTTTGAAGTTCATCCTTGCCCCAGCAGAGAATTTAATTTTGCTGAGAGTGATTGATACTGTGCATCAGAGCCCAAGCTGATACTGTGCCCAGCTTTTCCTTGCTTGTCTCTGATACAAATGTGAAAAATGGATGCAGTAATTGTTGTGAGTGATGGAAGCACCATTCCATTCCTTTTGCTCACATGTTATGTTCACACTTAAGAGCTTCTGACAGAGGCATATTGGAAAGAGAAGTGCTAAGAACCTGTAGTTTCCCTGGCAAGCCTGCCCAATGTAAGACTATTTAGGATGCAAACAAAGGGAGGATGTAAATAACTTGTGTGTGTCCAAGGTGGTTAGCTCACAAGCTCTCTTGTTGCTGTAGGCTCCCGCCACTGCCCATCCTTGTGGGCAGGCACCAATGGAGGTACAGTCTATGCCTTCTGTTTGCGTGTTCCACCAGCAGAGAGAAGGATGGATGAACCTGTCAGGGCAGAGCAGGGTAAGTATGCTTTGTGAAAGCTAGTGTCCTTGTAGATCTGACCTATCGCTTGTGTAAGTATGAGTTGCGTGTCTTGAACCACAAAAACAGGAAGGCAAGGTAGCTCAATTACTACTGTTTGAGAGTGGAGGTAAATGAAATAGCATCTGAGTTAGATGACACTATGGTAACTGAATTGCAGAGTAAGTGAACTGCAGTACTGTTTGATGTACTTTAGCTTTATTTCCCACTAACTTCAGAAATCTAAACTTACATCAGCTGCCACTGAAGTTTAATATCAAGCCACAGTGCACATACCTTATTTTGACAGTACTACCTGTTATCTTTATGGTTACTAATAATGTTTACTGTTTAACAAGAACCATTTATGTTCAAATATCCTTCAACTCCTAAATTTTTTTAGTCAGTGTTTCTATGGAAGTGTTATATAGGTCTCCACCTGTAAGAGGAAGTGAGTGGGGTTTTTAACAATGTCTCTGACTACACTCCTGTTATCTTTTTGTTTTTCATCTTGCTTTGTTAGCCAAAGAAATTCAGCTGATGCACAGGGCACCTGTTGTGAGTATACTTGTCTTGGATGGGCGCAACATACCTCTCCCAGAACCTCTGGAAGTAGCACATGACCTTTCTAAGAGCCCTGATATGCAAGGCAGCCATCAACTACTGGTGGTATCCGAAGAGCAATTTAAGGTGACTATCATTCAGGAGGTTTGTGTGGACTCTTGCCTAAAACCTGCGAGAGTCCTGCACAGTGTTCAGTGGCAGGAGAACTCTTGGGAGTGCTTATTCATAAGTACTGTTATAACACCCCTGGGGTGACATTTTTGTTTGGTACAGTCCATGAATTAGTGTAGGTGTATGGTGATGAATTGGATGTTCTGCATAACGATGTGCAATGGTGTACATATACATTTTATTCCAATATTTTTAATACTCTTCAGGTGAGGTACTTTTTGCTTTTGGGAAACAGCTTTAACTGTGATTAGTTAGTTGGTTGCAATGCTACACAGAAGCAACAGTTGCTAGGTGTTTCTATGAAGCAACCAAGAAGTTTCTTGTTTTGGTATGCTAGCCAGTGAGTGTAGAGAAGGCTTTAAGTAGCTTGCTGTAGGCTTTTAAATACAGAAGATTGCACATTGTAAACCCCTTTTTTCTGTAAAAATTTGTAGCCAAATATGAAAGGATCTTGAAATAATTAGTAGAGAAATGCAATTTGCAGCCTGAAGAGTAAAACTCCTTGTTATCAGAACAAGCAGATTCAGAACAGAAACAGATTGTAACGCTGACTGTGGCAGGTTACTTGTCCTATGAATGGGAAGCCAGATTGACTCAGATTACACTTGAGTGTATTCACTGTGAATGAAAACACTGTTAAAGGAACAAGCAGCGCATGTCTTGGGGTGCAGCTGTACCTTTGTTCAGGAAGGAGAATCAATGTCTTGTTTCTGTTGACAGGTCTTTACACTGCCCAAGGTTAGCTCAAAACTGAAGCTCAAACTGACAGCACTGGAAGGCTGTAGAGTAAGAAAAGTGATGGTTGCTAACTTTGGCAGCTGCAAGACTGATGATTACAGTGAAAATGACCTGACTGTCCTGACTAACCTGGGAGACATTCAGATCATCTCACTGCCCTTCCTGAAGTTACAGATTCGCTACCCTTGCATTCGTAAAGAGGATGTGAGTGGCATTGCATCCTGCGTTTTCACTAAATATGGCCAAGGTAAGGCATGCTTCTCCCAGAATATCTGACCCTACTGCATGTTTGAAACAATGGAATAGTGAGTGTAGGGCTTAATGTTTAGAACTAGCTGTTCTGGCCATCATCCAGGTGTCTGGAGATATGAGAGAGGCTCTCTGAGCAGCAGGAACAGTAAAAATAGCTGCATTGTGTCTTCTGTTACCTGTGGCTCAACGCTCAGGAATGTAAAAATTGGCATCCAACATTTTATGTCTATGAAGACTCGTCTCTTCTTTGTAGTTCAGTTTTTACATCTTTTTCTGCTGCTTTTCAGGAACGTGAGTACTGCAAGGTAGTTATCTTTCAACATAATATTGCTCAGTCTCTAGGCTAACCAATCCTTGGGAAATTGAGGTAATGTCTTCCTCAACGATTCTACCTTATTTAAAGAGGAGAAAATGCAAGCTCTTTCTGCCAGAGAGTACCCTTAGAATATAGGGTGGTTTTCTTTTATTTGTTTTTTTTTTTTTTTGGCTAATCTCTGTTTTCCTGGGTTTGAGAATTGCTTATATATTTGCAATCCTCTATAGGCTTCTATCTCATCTCACCATCAGAGTTTGAGAGGTTTTCCCTTTCTACCAAATGGTTAGTGGAGCCCCGGTGTGTTGTGGATGTGCCAGAAGTTTCAAGCAACAATCACGCGCACAGTAGGTCTGTCATGGAGAATGCTTCAAGAAAATCCAGGTAAAGACTGTAAAACTCGGCATACTTATTGCATCTGTACATTGGGATCTGCTCCTGTGTTGCAGTTGATACAAGCAAGCATTATTATGAGTTCTTTTGTCTCCCTTTCCATGTTGGTGGAAGCTTTTCAATGACAACATTCCTAGATGTATTGAAATGAGGAAATGTAACTTTCTCCGTGTTGGTTTTCCTGCTTCTGTACAGCTGCTGGAACAAAGCAGGGAAGCACTGGGAGTTGTGTCCCTAAATTAGAGTCATCAACTCTAAGCTCTAGCTTGTGTTACTTGTTCTCTAACATTATCAGACTGACACCTGATTCTTGGAGACCTGGGGGGCTATTCATTGCTGAAGGAATTAAATTATTGCTCTGAGAGAAAATCTAGTGTTCCTCCTCTCAGAACTTCAGCACATAATGGTAGACTATTTAGGTTCTCTTGGGTCCATAGAATTCTTTATCGCCGACAAATAATCAAGCCCTGACTACATTCTTAATTAACAAGCCGTTTAGTTAACATGTAGTGGAATTTCTTGTAGCTGCCAAGAAGATTTGTGAATTCTCTGCACCTACTCTCTCAGAGTCAGTGTTTGTTTTCTGTCACCTTTCCTTTCCCAGGTGTTCAGGAAGAAGTTCAGATGACTGTGGAGAAGATGGTAAGCAGAAATAGGAAATATGTTATTTGCTGCCTAAGAAAAGGGAAAGTAAGAAGAGAAACTAGGGAAAGATTCTGACCTGCCTGGACACAGCAGTTACTAAGGTAGATAGGGTGTGGCAAAGCTGCCTAGACAGAGTAGAACGCAGCCTTTGCTGGAAGAGACTGTAAGAAGATATGTCTGATATTACAGATTGTATGTTTTGTTAGCTGAATAGTCTTGCTGGAAAAATACCATCTCCGTATGTGAGAGGCGTTAAGAATTAGTTATGAAGCATTCATTGTAGTCAACAGTTACTTAATGAGGAAAAAAATCAAAACAGTTCTATTGTGGGAATGTAAGTATGAGTAGTGGCAGATATAACTGCTTTAAGCCACTTTCAGATCACCCAAGAAAGGTAGCAGTCGTAATCCCCTCTGAGGATGAAGGCTCACCAAGTATCCCAAAGGAGGTGATCTCTGAGTAGCTATCCTTCCTTTGAGGCTGCCAGCCTTTAAATGAGCTTAGGGAGAGCAGACTCAGGGTCACCCTTTCTGGTCCTCCAGGTAAATTTTCCATTTGGCTGGCTGGCTGGCAGGGGCTGGCTATGCCCCTTCACCAGGTGCTCAATCACTGGGTCAGGCTGTGACCTGACGGTTTCCGTACGGGAAAGGATAAATGTTTTTAGATCAAAGCTTTTTTTCAACTTTTTTGGATTTCTATGTTTTTAATTTTTATTTTACTTTTTTTTTTTTTTTTTTTTTTTTTTTTTTTTAAGAAAGGAATTCTGGAAGGCTGATGGATCATGCCTTACTCAATGATGAAAGTGAGTAAGATGAAATTGTGCTAAAATCAGGGCATCTGCCTTTCTTGATGGGGAAAGAAGAAAGTTGCTGGGGATTTTGAGTTCCAGCCTTCAATCCTAAGTAATCTGAAGTTCTGTGAGACTGGTGGAAATACTGTGTTTGTTTTCCCGCGAGTTAGAAGAAATAAGGGATTGGGCTGATAATCGTGCCCTAAGGCAGGAGTTCTTACACTTAGCTGCATTCACCACAGTGTTAAGAGAAGAACCTTTACTTTCCAGTAAGGCTTGTGTGAAATGACATCTGGAATCAACTGTTTATTTTAGTTCTCATGTACACCATTGCTGGCAACACTTCATCTAGCACGTGACTGCTTCCATCCTTTATGCCAGCCTATTCAGTAAAAGCCAGTACTACTGAAAGGGAATGATATTATAAGGTTTGATTTCCCCTGGAAGGAAGCAAATTTAAAGGCTTCTCCACTAGGGGGTGGAATGCAGCTTGTCTGCTGCCTTGAAAGCAGATCTCTGCTGTCTTAGCTCACTGTTTTAACTCTCTGCTTTCCAGAAGTCCTGAAGGAGATCCAGAGTACTCTGGAGGGGGGAAGAGGGTGAGTATCTACCAACTTGTGTTTCTAAGGGTGGGGGTGACAAAGGAGGGCATTTCTAGTGACAGTAGGGCAGTGCCCAACAAAAGGTGGTAGAGCACCTTGTGCTAGAGCCAGTTGACGAACTGTCAAAGGGAAGAAGAGTATGAGAGATGCTGATTCTTTTTCACGTGTTGTCCCTAAAATATATATATATTTTTTTTTTTTTAATGAATAATGCTTTGTCTCTTTCTCTCCGAAAAGCAGGAGAGATCACATTCCCACATCCCAAAGGAACAGGACTCTGACTATTCGCATACAGGTTTATATTTGTGTCAACCCATACTGATCTAAGGTCAGGCCACATGGGCTTAGTTGGCCGAGGATGGGACTCTGGAATTTTAATCCTGGCTTGACAGTTGTCACTTGGACATACTCAGTATCTCTGCTCCCATTCTGTCTGTACAGTAGAGCTAAGCTACCACCATGGGTGCGGGGCTTTATCTTGTATCCTTAGAATACTGATGTTCAGGTGCCAGGGGTTACAGAAATGTAGACAAAGGACTACTATTTGCAGTAGATGCAGGAAGCTTGGTGGGATTGGTAACTGCTGGTGCATAAGGATAAGTGACTGCCTGACATGCTCTGCTCTGTGCACTTGCTCTGGACACTACTTAATCCTGGTTTTCTGCCAGCAGCTGGGAGAGAATGTCTTTGTATTGCATCACAGTAACAAAACTTATCTTGTGTCATTGCAGGAGCTTTGCAGAAAGAAATTTGGCAAGAAGTCCAGTAGGACACAGACTAAGTAATGGAGGAGGTAGGTGAGGCAAAAGTTATTTCAGGCCAACTGAAGTAGAAAAGGAAAAACACAAAATTATAAACATTCAGCTGATATAAGTGGTTTGCAGTAGTGCAGAACTTCAGTCTGAATTTTCAGGCTGGGAATCTGCTGGCTGTGTGTTGTAGTACCACTGTTCAGCACATTATGTGCCGCACGAGTAAATATGCTGGATCAGTTTTAAATGAATAAAAAGAAGTCCTTTGAAGGCTCCTTCATTACTCTTAACGGGAAACAAGCATGAAAGGCAGCCAGAGCTCGCAGCTATAACCTGTTGAAACTTAGGACTGTCAAATAAATGGATGCCCTTACTAAGCAGAACAGAATGCACGGGATGCTCTTCTTCCCTTTACGCTTGAAAAAAAGGTTTGAATAGTGACAACAGCAACATGAGTCTGTATTAATTATGAACACCCATGGGCAGAAGATAGAGGCAGGGAGAAGGAGAGTTATTATGCAGGACATCCTTCAGAATAATCTCACATCCATCATAGAAGTGTGTGTACGAAGATGCATATTCGTAGAGTCTTTGGGCCCAGCATGAATTCTTGTAGTGACACACTGATGCACATCATACAAGTTTCTCTCATTAACTTTAAAATTCTGTTTTCTAAATGGCTTTTACTTTCTTATATCCCACAGCAGACTGACCAGAATTCATCAAGGACTTTTCTGGGATTGGATTGCGTGCCATAATACTACTGATTGGGCAAACCGTCCCTGGGGAGAGCACAGCAGTGTTCCCTGTATCACAGGCTACTGAGTTGCAACTTTCATGCATATGCATGTCTGCCCTGGCCTCCCCTTTTAGTGCCTCATTAGACATCTCTTGGAGCCTGCCTTACATTAGGACAGAAGTGGATTGCCAGGTCTAATGCACCACAAGCTTCTGAGTACATCTAACTTTTAAATGTTTGCACATTTCTCTTTTCTACTGGGCTGGGTTTTAAATTATGAATACTACTGCGTTGGTGCAGGATTTTAATAAATGCGCACTGTTACCTCCAACTGGTACAAAATTATTTTTTGTACCATTTTTTTTAAATCATATGGGTATTTCAGCCTTAATGAACATTTTATAAATTTACCTAACAAAAAGACAAAACATGAAATAATATATGCTAGATTCCTGTGACTGTTATGTGGTATCTGAATGAGTAACTTCGGTATTTGTTTGCTGTGGTACTGCTAACTGGCTTCATGGATTTTAGTAGAATCTATTTTTGTAGCCATTCAAATCAAAGGAAAACTAATTGAACCTGATTTTCTTTCTTTTTTTTTTTTTCAACACAATGTTGATCTTTTTGGAAATAAAACTCTGAATTCCATTTTGTGATCCTTGTCTGCTTTCATATCCATTCTTTGCATTAGCAACTCCTTTCATACAGGTAACAGGCTCATGCCTGTTTTACCCCTTGAGGAATGCGAAGAATTTTTTGAGCAGCAGAGACAATGAACACTCTTGCAGATTCAACGGCCTCATTAAGAAAGATGATTGCTTAGAGAAGATGCGTGTGGCAAGTAAGTTGATTGTATCAATGTCCTGCAATCTGTGCCTTAGGTTGCCAGGAAAGAGCGCTGGTTCAGATGGCAGCCAGTGCCTGGAAAGTCATCTGCAGGTTTGTCCTGAAATAACTTCAGTGATGACATGCAGAAGGGAGGAAAAGTTGATCTGACAGTGTTTCTGTAATAGTGAGGTAAGGGATTATGAATTGATGCTGTTGAAAGTCTGTAGAGCAGCACTTCATTACGCTTAAAAATTTGATTTAAAAACACTAATTTGTTCCTTGTGCCTGACCTCTAATGCTGCTTGCTTTCTTTTCCAGAGAAGAAAAAGAATTATTTTCCTGTATATTTTGTGTAACTTGCTTATTGTTGCTCATTTTCTCACTGACTTCAGAAAGAAGGCTAAAACTTCCCAGACTGGATGCTGAGTTGTTGTTCTTTGCATAGTTTAGAAACCTGCCTTGGGAAGCCCTCTTACTTTAGGCTCTCTTATCTTCCTGAGCAAGATGGGGTGATCTTTTATTTCTTGGGGATAACACAGTGACACTCATCTATTCTGCAAGAGAATATGGTTGAAGAGTTCAGATGAGATTTGGAGCACCCTTACTTCTAGAAGTATTAGTATCTCCTTTGAGACCTAATTTATCTCTCATGAAATTTTGGAGAGCCTGCTTTCGGACTGAGTGGGATATGATATGTTAGTTTCCATTTCCTTTTTTCTCCTAGCCTTATTTCCTTCTTTCTACATCTTCAGAGTTGAGACTAACAGGAAGATGGCCTGCTGTACTCTGTCTCTTGTGCCAGACATTGATACTGCAAATTTACAGAAAATTATGTTTTAATTATCACTTTCTGAGTTGGTGTGACCATGTGCATCATTATGGTGCATCTGGCTGCTGCTTTCTGCTCCTCACAGATGGACAGCTTCTAATGCAGTTTCTGAGTATTTCATTTGTTGGCAGGCTTGGGTTAAGTGACGTAGCAGTCCTGCTCAGGGCAGAAGTGGTTCATATAATCTCTCCTCTTTTGGCCTATATAGCTTGAAAAATTCATTAACCCCCATTCCTCCCAAATAAGTTAAATCTCAAAAATGCTACCATAATTTATATACCCCTAAATGAATTTGTTTTTAAAAATAAAATGGACTTTACATATCCAAGCTTCTTATATTCTTAAAAACACAAGGCAGACTATTAATGGGATTGCAGCTAACTTCTGTATTGAAATATGGCAGATTCTTACTAGCAGTGCTTGTTTGAAACCTACAGCTGAAGGACTCACTGGAATAAGCTGCTTGATTTATAGTTGTGAGAAGTGGCATTAACAATTTTTTCTTAGAAATACTGTGTTTAAAATACAGGAGAAAGAGGAGCAAAGCAGGAGGAAGACTAGAACTCACACTGACCTTTCAATTAAATTCTGAGCTGATCAGGAGCGGATGGAAGGACTCCCACATGACTTTGAAAACTAGTCTGTATTTACGCTAACAGAAAATGCCTACCACGTAAGATCAATAATGGAATGTTCATGAAGGATGCATTCTTGAATCAATATCTAAACAGCTTGTGAACATATGGAGAGGAAAAAAAATCCCTCTGTATCTCTCCCTGTAATGGGAACTGTAAGGTTGTAGCCTGAACCAGTGATTGAGCGCCTGCTGGAGGGGCATAGCCAACCCTGCAAGCACAGGTGGAAACAATTCACCTGTGGGACCAGACAGGATGGACCCTTGCTCAACTCCTCCCTAACCTCATTTAAGGTCTGGCAGCGGCAATGGAAGCATCTCTACTTGAAAACTGCCTCCTTTGGAGTATTCAGCAGGCCCTGACCCTCAGAAAGGGGTCAGAGTTCCTTCTTTATTTTTTAATTGTGATCTCTACCTTTCTTGGGTGATCTAAAAGTGGTTTAAAGCAGCTATATCTGCTGCCGCCTATCCTTACATCCGCCTTCAAGAACTGCCTTTTGAGTCTTGCTGTTAGCATTAATCTGCCTCTCAGATGACAGTAATAATAACAGCTTGTTTCTGATCAGAGGCTTCAGCTGCTGCCAAAGTCCTTAAGTTTTGTGCCTACCTCTATTTCTCATTTGAATTGCTTGTCTGGGATCTCTTAGTGACTTGCTGTTTCCAAGAGCTAATTCTTAATGCTTGGAAGCATCTAAAGGGCTCACTGGCTGTTATTACTTTATTGCCAGTAAGGGTCTGGCCAATGTTCTCTCTCTGTTGTGCTCTCTACAATCTTTGGGGTCTGGCATCATAGTGCCCTGTCACTGCAGGAGCTGATCTGCTGTTAACACTGGCTTCCAGTGCTTGAAAAAAGTCCCCAGTAGCTATGCTGGCAGCATGTCTCCTAGCCATTGCAGACCTGTTTCTTTTCAGAGGGGAAAGTCTTGAATCTAAAAATAGAGTCAAAGCTTTCCACATTTGAATGCACAAATTTGTACCTGTTACAGGATTCTATTTTATAGTAGCCTGAGCTTGAGGTTGTATACCTTCTTGAAACATGAGTTCCTTCATCGAGTTTGCATATTTCATGCCAAAATTCGCTAGTTGTAGAAAGGGTCTGATAGTTTTACAGACAAGTACATCCTGCTATTTTAACACAGGTACAAGCAGATAAATGTATGCTGGTAAGTGAAGGAATTTTTTCTGTATCTGAACCAGTGCCTTATGATCTTGCCATATAGTCTGGAGTAAGGGGAAGCAGCAAAATTAGCTGCAGGCTGGTGGGTTTGGCCTGCACATTTAGGAGGAAGCTCACCATCAGCTCAGCTTACATGTAAGGTGAATTTTCACCAGGATGACAAACAGAACTTGTGCAAAGTTGTATGTATGCAAAAGATGATGATGCCTTACAATGGGATACAAACACTATGGAGCAATAGCAGATTAAAATAAAATAATTAAAAAACTGGCTCACTCCTTCCGCCAACCAGTGATAGTTCAAGACTACAATTTCTACCTAGAGAGATGCTGCTCCCTCAGCTCCTAACTCGTAAATGAGGATGAGGAGGAGTGGATCCTGCCTCCATTCCTCCTGCTCACTCAGGTGCGGTGCATGCACTTGAGCTCCTGGGTTAGCCACGCCTCCTCATCTGGTACTCAACCATTGGTTCAGGCCATGACCTGGCAATTCCACTACAAAAGGAAACAGGTGAGGAGTAGAGATCACACTAAAAGAAGGCAGTGGCCTCTTTCAAGTGACAGTCATAAAGTCAATTTAGCTATAATATGAAACATCACCTTCTCTGCTAGATTCTTTCTACCTTAATCTTTGCAAGTTTATTAGCTTCTGTGGGGATTATCAAATATCTGGATATAATCATTTCTATCTGGACAATGTAACTTTACACAGTGACGCTCGTTCCAAGGTCTCTGCTGCCAGCACGTGGCTAAAGCGCGGAACTACAACAAAAACAGGCGGGGGAAGGCAGTGTTAGTTCGAAACTGGCGCATGCGTAGTGCGGGCTCGAGACTACCGTATGCGCCGTAATATACGGACGAGGAGAATGCACAGTAATAGCTAAAGGCTAGTGCATGCGTCATAATAGCTGAAGACTGGTGCATGAGAAGTGCTGTTCTGAAACACAGCGCAAGAGCAGTGCTATTTTTTTACTAGCGCATGCATACCATTGTCTCGAGAAACGCACATGGTGTAGACTCAAGAAAGCCGCATGCGTAGTGCTTTTCTAATACTAGCACGTGCACAGTGCGCTTTATCCAATGGCAGATGCGCAGAACGTTTTCTACATTAACACAGGCATAGTGCGTCCACAAGACGAGCGAATGCGCACTGTATCGAGAATGACACATGCGTACTGCATACTCGAGATGTGTAGTGCAGTTAAAAACAAATGCGCAGTGCTGTTCTAAACTCACGCATGCGCAGTGCTTTTTTTTTTTTTAAATGAGATGCATAGTGGTGTCTCTTGACTGACGCATGCATAGTGCATAATCGATAATGGCACATGCGTACTGTAATCTGGACACTGACGCATGCCTACTGCGTTCTCAAGTTTGGCGCATGCGTGCTACTGTTCTCAAACCAGCACAAGCACTGTGCTGTTCAGAAACTGATGCACGTGCAGTTCTTTTTTTTTTTCTTTTTTTCTTTGCAAGGGTGCGTGCGTAATCTGGTACAAACACAGGAGCATGCGTAGTGCATTTTCTAGGTTAGCGCATGCAGAGTGCTGTCACTAGATTGAGGCATGTGTATCGTGATGTCAATACAAGCGCATGCACATTGTAATCTCGAGACAGAAGCATGCGTAATGCGTTTTCGAGATTGCCACATGCATAGTGTGAATCTCCAGACAGCGCATGCATAGTGGTGTTCTGAAACTCGCTCATGCGTAGTGCTGTAATCGGACATGCACATGCACAGAACGTTCTCAGAGTGGCGCACGCACAGTGCCGTTATCCAAGCGGTGCATGCGTATTACAATTGTGAACCTGGCACATGTGGAGGCTGCTCTGAGACAAGCGCATGCGTACTACAGTTCTCAAAACAGCACATGCCTAGTAGCATTCTGTAACTGTAGCATGCGTAATGCGTTCTCGGACAGGCGCAAGTGTATTGTTGTTTGCAGGAATGTGCATGCATTGTGTTGTCTCCTGACTGGCGCATGCACAATGCTTTCAGCAGACTGATGCATGTGTAGTGCGTTTTAAAGATTGGCGCATGCGTAGTACTATTCTGGAACTGGTGCATGCATAGTGCATCCTCCATATTGCCGCATGCATAGTGCGGTTCTCAAACCGGCACATGCATAATGCTGTTCTGAACCTGGTGCATACTCATGTCTTCTTTGTAAAGGCGCATGCGTAGTCCAGTACTAACACTGATGCATGCGTAGAGCTGTCTCCAGACTGGTGCATGCGTAGTGCATTTTATAGATTGGTGCATGCGTATTGCTATTTTCAAACTGGCGCATGCGTAGTGCATTTTCTAGACTGGCGCATGCATATTTCAGGTCTCAAACCGGTGCATGCGTAGTGTGTCTCCTAGATTGGCATATGCTGTTTTGACACACGCATGCGTAGTGCTGTCTGCAGAACGACGCATGCGTAGTGAATACTCGATATTGGCGCATGCGTACTGCAACTCTCAAGATGGCGCATGCGTTGTTCGGTATTAACACTGGCGCATGCACAATGCTCACTTCAGCCAGACACATGCGTACTTCATTATCGGACTGGCGCATGCGTACTATTTTCTGGAGCATCACGCATGCGTAGTATTGTCTCCACACTGGTGCATGCGTAGTGTTTTTCTTAAAGTGGCGCATGCGGAATGCCTTCTCGATACTCGCACATGCGTAGTGCTGTTCTCAAATTGGCTCACGCGTAGTGATTTTCTGAAACGGGTGCATGCATACTGCATTCTCGGACAGGCGCATGCGTACTGTTGTCCCTATGCTGGTGCATGCGTATTGTTGTCTCAAGAGACGTTTAGGCTTAGTGACAGCTTCTGGCTTATGGATCTCAGCAGTAACTCCTTTCGTTCCCATCTCCCTGGCCTTGCCAGCAGGTAAGAGGGAGTATGAAGGTGCCAACTTATATGTTTTCTTCACCTACGACCAAGTTCAGCTTTCTCTACAAAACATGACTTTTGCAGTTACAGCCACAAATATCAATTCTCTTAAAACTGTCAGGATACTTTGTTCCATCCCAAGATAATTCTTCACTTGGGGGCTTTTAGATCACCATCACAGTCAAGGCTAAAATTAAGACTACATCCCAGACACTCAGGTCCCCCCACTTCCATTTGTTTCTGTGCTCTGGGGAGGAATATCACTGATCCGGTGGTCCACGAACTGATGGCTCACCCAAAACCAGACCTGAAGTAGTTGGTAGAAACAGTTGCTAATCTTAAGTTGTCGGGCGCATGCCCGCTATTTCCTGGAGGACTAATCACAATAGAGAGCAGAAGATTCGCTGCACAGAGCGGTTAAAATGCCACTTCCGCCTATCTGTGCACATGCGTTGTACTGCCTGCAACAGCAATGAAGACAGCTGCAGTTCAGCATATTGGCCACGCGGTGGCAGCAGAGACCACGGAAAGAACAGTTCTGATGGGTTTGACGTACATCTGCAGCGCAGTCCCTGACGATCCGTTCTCTCTCTCTTGTGATGACGCGTTAAGAACACAAAGTTAGAATTGAAGGTTTGGGGGGGGGGGGAAGAAAGACGAAGAAAACAGGGAAACTTCTCCAAACCCAGGAAGGTTGTGCTAAGCGCTTATGAATATCTGTTGAAAAAAACAAACAAACAAACAAAAAAACATCAAATTCATGTGGTCATGGTTTTTTGGGTTTTTTTTGGCCAGTACATTTGTTACATTGTTTTAAAAAATTCACATATCACAATCTAACTGCCCAGCAAATTTAATGATAGTGAAATGAAAGCACGTTAGCAGAAAGCGTGGTGCTATATTCATGTTTACTCAGACTCTTTCCTGTTTGTATTTTAATGTATTTGTTTCCTAGTGCCTTTCTTGCACTCGAAGTTTCATTTTTGGCTTCTTATTCTTTTTAATGCCATAAAACGGATAGTTAAAGGCCCTAGCAAGTCTACAGGCTGCACAAAGGAGCAGTTTTGAGTTTATGTGGACTATCACATTGTTTCCACAAAGATTAATGAAAACTACAGTTCTCCACATCAGTTTACAGATGGAAAAAATTAATTCACCTGCATACAAAGAATCAGTGTGTCATAGCTGCCTCTAAAGGACAGTGAAAGAGTTGTGCAGGTCTATCAGGCTCAGCTGCAGCTTTTCATCTTCCCTTCTCTGGTCCTGCTGCACCTGGCGAGACTGCACAAGGGCACAGGGTATGCAGACCTTCCCCAGCTGGCTGCAGCAGTTGCTCCTGCCAGAACACTCTTTCAACCCAAAACATTCCTGTTTCACAGATGGGAGCCCCGTGTGGCAGAGAAGGAGAGAGCTGCAGGCAGAGGGAAAACAGGGTGGTGGAACTCCTCCATCCCACTGCCAAATATCATCTCTGGCATTTTGGGGATGGGCAGGGGACTCTGGGAGCACCCTTGGGCCTCTGTGCAGAAGGGAGGGAAGTAAAAGATGCAGCTGCAGGCAGTGGGCTCTGGGCTGGAGCAGTGCAGCCAGATACAGCTGAACAGCTCACTGTCTGGGCACATAGAAGAAGCTTGTCCTCAGCTGAGGGCTGAGGGGCTGTTCTTACCAAGCACTCTCCCATCCTACAGGTCTGCATGGACTGCACCAGTCGCTTGAGATCTTCCCCTACAGAAGCTCAGAAGTGACAACATTCCTGACCCAAACAGGTAATGACAACATATACACACACAAACAAATACATACCCATCTCAAAACCTGGCACTCTACAGTCCCCCCCCCAGAGTTTGTTACTGCTTTTTAGGATGCTCTACAGGTATCCTATCCTTTCCCCTTCATCCCTCTATGACTTCTGCATTCCTTTTCCAGACTTTCCCCTTTCTTTCCCCATTTCCTTCTCCATGCCTGCATCCCCCTGCAACGGTCCATTGCTGTTCTCAGCTGACAGTCCTTAAACCACACTTTTCAAACGCATTGAATCAGAACACATGCTGTCACTGTTTAAAGAAAAATAAAGTAGAACAAGGAATACAGTATTGTGTATGGATAACAAACTGCTACTTGCTTGATGACCAGTAGCAGCTCATCCTGGAGTAACTCCTGAACACAACCAGTTCTCCTCTGTGTGGATTTGGCGTCAGCAGTGGCTCTGCAATATTGGATCTGATTCTTCATCTTCTACCTCAAGTTCTAGTGTAATTCAGGACACCAAAAAGCATGTGACCACTCCTTTCAAAACAAAATACATTAGAAGAAAATATGCTTACACAATTAAAGACAGTAAATGTCAAGTGACAATTCTGGATAAAAGTATACTACAATTTGGAGGCGAGCTTTTGGGGCACTCCTTTCTCAGAGCAACGTGGCCGTGCCCTGCGCATGTTGCTGTTATCAGCAGCACTGCAGTGAGATGCCCAAGGCCATGAGGCACAGTGACACGAAGAAGGTTGGTTATTGGGGTGCAAGGAGGGCAGGCAAAGAAGACTGTGTGCTCAGTGGCTTCAGGGAAACTCACCAAGTGCTCCAGTCAGGAGAATCCCTGCAGCCTTTGAGCTTTACCAAACACTCCAATCAAGTTCCTTTCATGAAGTCTGATTAAATATACAGAGAAGGAAGACAATTTGAGTCTTAAATTTTGTAAGAGGCATACAGTTCTTAGATTAATACTTAATATTATTAGGAGATATTTTTGTGTCAACAATGCACCTCTGGATATGTAAAGCTGAAAAGTGTTAGCCATTGCTGATGTGAAGTTTTTAAACCTACCCAGTGTGTCTTAAGGAGCGTGCAGGTCCTCCATTCACAACACCTGCTCAGTCCCATCTAAATCTGCAGAACGTTGGACATGTAACGCTGCATCTTCCTTTGCTCTCAGTTCACAGTGATGTGTTCAGGTAGCTCTGGAGGGGCCGTGCTGTGCTTCTGGATGTTCTGTTGGAGTTGCTTTGTGGATTTTTTTTTTTTTTTGCATTCCCATAAGTGTTTTTAAATTAAATAATAGCTGGCAATTAAAATACTCCAGCTTCTTAATTGTAGAAATTCAAAGTCATAGCTGTTGGTAGTTCCTAGGCTCAGTTTTTCAGTGTTCCTTAGTTTCACTTGTTCTTTCTATTTTCAGTTGTTCTGTTACACTATTTATAATGAGCTGTCGTTGCTTATCGCAGTTATGAGTGAAAACGAAGCCAGCGGGGCTCAGCAGCAGCACTGTTGTGTCCACGTGACATCCAGCTGCAATTGGCTGGCTCAGCTCAGTGCTGATGGAGACTCTTTGCATTCCTTGTTCTGTGACCTTTGGTTCACAGCGTGTTACTGTGCACTATGTCTGATCACGTTGTTTGTACTTTTTCTTGAATAGTTGTAATTTGCTGTTGTACTTCAAATTTAAATGTTTAAAATAATATATTTTGTGATCACTCCTGGTGGACTTTACCTGTAAGTGGTATTAGTTACTGTCTGCTCCACTTACGGGTGTGCAAATAGCAGCAGTGCACAGACTGCAGATTTAAGTTCTGGAATGATGCTATCGCATTGCAGAATTCACCACAGCCAGATCTCTCGTGTTGTACCTGATGTGAGTGTGAAAGTAAGGGAGCCAGATGGGGCCTTTAAGAGGAGAGCTGGAGTGTTGGAAAGCAGCAGAGCATGGCACAGTCCAAGAATTGGCTGTTTTCATGTGAGACGCTTTTGGGTGGCGATGGGTGAACTTGAGTGAATCAAATCTGATTTCAACAGAACTTAGCAGGCACCAGCCAGAAGCAGTTAAACGAAGTATCTTACAAACTTGGATTTTTTTATTTGCTAATAAGTGCATCTGAATAACCTCTGCTTCTCCCTGTTTGTTCCTGTGGCTTTCTGTTCTAGATTCTGATCTTATATGAAAGCCTCCATGTTGTTGATGTAAATAAAATTGTTGAGTATATACAGAGCTTGCAGAAAGAAGATGGATCATTTGCTGGAGACAAATGGGGTAAGTTTTAGATTGTAAAAATGGTTTGATTTTGTTGACGCATGTAAGTCTATGAACTGAAGTTTTCTTGGATGGTGGTTTTGTGGATCTTCTGTATATAAACACTTAAATCCTGGGTTGTTTCATAAACAAAAAAAGGAAAGAAAGAAGTTTTGTGGAGGACAAACTTTGGTTTTCTTTCCCATCCAAAATATTTTAAGATTTGTTCCTTTTTTAAAAAAATAAATTGTCCAGCTCTTAGAGAAAAAACCTTTGTGCACTCATAACTAACAGTGCTTTTATGTGTTAGATGCACTATTTTCTGGGTTGTTTTTTTTTTTTTTTGCTTGCTGTTTCATGACCTTCCTTTTATGATCTTTCTCCTATGGAAGGCAGCTTTCACTATATGGAAATGAGGGAAAAATACTAGCTGTTCTTTCACTCATCAGTATCTATTAATGCTTATTTTTGTTTATGCATGTAAATTCTTCATGAACAAAAGCAGCAATTTTCAAGCTGTAGAATAACCACTGAGTCAATAAAAATGCTTTCTGCTGTGGAAAGCTTCGTTTGGTAGAATGTATCCTGTCATGTTTTCTGTTCCAGTAAGGTTTTGCAGGCAGTGCCATGGTCAGTATGTGTGGCTGCTGGATGCCTCACCCTGTGCTTTAGGAGAGCCATGTTGTGAACTTCCTCAGCAATCATTCTGCTGAGGTTTTTTTTGGCTTAGCATTGAGGTGTAAATGTGCTAAAGAAAACCTGCAGTTCGATTTCCTCTTGATCTAATAACAAAAGTGGGCTCTATTCCTGCTCAGGTATCAAAGAGCCCAAAGCATCAAAGGCAGACCTGCTTCAGGTGCTTTATTGATCTGTTTTTAAATACCCACTGTTCTGCCTTTATCCAGTAGAGTACTGCAGATCAACTTTTACACAGCTGTTTGCAGGTTGCCACTGGTTGGATTGCCCAGAAGGTCTGAATGCAGGCAGTGAGTTGTTTGCTTTACATACAGTAAGCACAGATCATTTGAACTTTGGAAATGACTGAGGAAATAACTGACGGATTGAAAAGTGAGCTTTTCATTGTTGCCATACAGGTTTTTTTTACATTTGTTTCATATTTTCAGTGGTGATTTAAATGTATTGTTGCTTTTAATGAAAATGATATTTCATTTCCTGCCCTCTGTGTTTTAGGAGAAATAGATACAAGGTTCTCCTTCTGTGCTGCAGCAACTCTTGCACTTCTAGTAAGTTCCAAAACATCACTTGAACAAGTACAGTATTTTTCATTGGTGTATAACTGAAGTTAACCAGTTTGACTGAACGTAAGATATATTGGTTGCCTTTTTAACTTGCAGGGAAAATTGGATGCTATTGACGTGGGGAAAGCAGTAGAATTTGTTTTGTCCTGTATGAACTTTGATGGAGGATTTGGCTGTAGGCCAGGTTCTGAGTCACATGCAGGACAGGTGAGTTTTATTTTCTATGGAAATCCTTAAATTATTAAATACCACAAACTGCCTCTGAATGTTTGTTTTTGGCATCAATCAGGGATGCCAGCTGATGGAAGCTTTCTTGTTTTCAAAATGACAACTTCCAGTCTTTTAGTTACAGGGCAATTAGTGGATACATCTGGGAAGCTGGTTAGGAACTCAGGAGGCTACAATCTAGGAAAGAAAAAAAAATAAGGGAGCAATTTGTAGGACTGTATTTCAGATTACCAGTGTGGGCTGAGTGACATCCAAATAGTGGTGCCAGTAGTTGGTGTGAGGTTTTAAAGATAATTTGGAATTGGTGTTAATGTAGACATTGGAGAAGAAAAACTCAATTGGGGAAAAAAAAAATCCTTTGTGATGTGTTGCAGTGGTTACCACAAATTCTAATGAAAGGTGCAAATGAATTGTGTATGTTTGATATTTATCAGAGGAACGGAAAAATAAGTGACAACTAAATCTTTTAATCTGTCAAATTGCAAGAATTAATTATTTGAGCAGGGTAAATTATAAGAAGTGGTGATTCTTGCATAGGAACCTCTACAGTGTTTTGTTACAGGTACTGAAGAGTGCTGATGGCAATTGATGAAAAATGATCAGTAAAATTTAGTTGAGAAGAAGGTGGAGTGGTGTCACTGAAGGAATTCCAGGGCTTTATCAGGAAGAGAATCTCTTCTTTCAAGAGAAAAATTACATGGGAAAAATAACTTCCTGTCTATTTTCTTTGCATGTAGGGGATTGTTGCTCCGAACTTAAATTTACCAGTAGGTACCAACCTTGGTGAACGGTTTTAATGACCTGTTTATTTTGCATAACTACAGTGAGCAGAACCATAGCCAGCTTTTGCTTATGTACATGGAAGTAGTATCAGTTCCTGCGTTGAGAACAGGGGGGGTGGTTTCCCCAGCTCCCACTCTCTCCCCTTATCCTTGTGGGTTACATCTCGAGCAGCATTGTCTGAACGCTGAATGTGGTGTTCCAGGAGGTTGTCTGTTTGGGGGTGTTTTTTCTGCTCAGGAAGGGCTGGTTATAAATAGGCTTCAGCTGAAGTTGTTTCTTGTTGTAGGGTGGTTTTTTTGTTTTGTTTTGTGTTTTTTTTTTTTTTTTTTCAGTTTGTGTCTGGTTCCCTTTTCAGTGACTGCCTGAAGTGTGTTGGTAGTTTGCTGTCGCACTGCATGTCTTATTTTTGAGGTAAAATAGGCAGGGATTAAAACTACATAGCACTTAAAAAGTAAGCCTGCTGAGGCCATGCTTGTACTTAGGATTGCCTGCAACATTTATGATTGTTAGTAACCCTGTTGTCAGAGAATTCATTCGGTCTGCAGTTTGCCCTCCATAAGCCTGAGAGAAAGAGAGGGTTGGTTGGTGGCCTGTGGCAGGGGGCTGGAGCTTGGCCCTTGAGGAGCCTTCCAACATGTGCCATTCTGTGCTTCTGCAAATAGGTGTGAGCATAGGCTGGCCGCAGAGCTGTCAGAAAGGCGATGTCTGGCCTGTGGAAGCAGTTTGGGTGCTCTAGCTTCAAAATAAAGCATTGCTCTGCCTTTTCATCTTTTTGGAAATCTTAGTCTATCTTATATCAGTAAAGATATGTATGTATATATATATAAAGAAATCTTATATCAGTAAGAAGTTTTATAATTACTGGAGCTCTTTAACCAAAAGCAATTGTGATTAATATCTGCCTGTAAGGAAAAAATGAAATTAGCTAAAAGGTGAAGTGTGCTTATTTTATATCCTGTTTGCAGGACTGTGTTCTTCGAGATCTTCCTGTATTTAGTCTCTGTTTAGTTTTTAAATACACAAAACATTTATGTCTGTAATTTTAGATCTATTGTTGCACAGGATTTCTGGCTATTACAGACCAGTTGCATCAAGTAAATGTTGACTTGCTGGGATGGTGGCTTTGTGAACGTCAGCTGCCTTCTGGAGGTCTCAATGGGCGTCCAGAGAAGGTATTAGATGGCTTATTCTGTTCAAAGCTTAATGTAGAGTATT